CCATTTGATATGTAACACTTGCTTTATCTTTTTCTTTTTTTTTAACAACTAACTTTCTTTTTGTAGTAGTAGTTATCACAACTAATCTTTATTGCTATTAACTGATAGAAACATTGTATTTCTAAGGATGCAATAAAGTTATTATTATTATTATTATTATTAGTAGTATGTCTATGATCTTTTATTATTATTTCAAGTGTCTCATTTTCCGGGCAAAGATTATTACATGTATAAGGTATAAGGTAAGACTCCCTTAGGTATCATCACCCATAACCCTGACCTCTCCAGTGCCCCTCCTCTTATTTTAATTGTATACTACTGGTACTCCTCTTCAGGACAGGTATAGTTATACAATTACACTGGTGTTAGGGTTGTGGGGATTTGACTTGAGAAAGTCTTATTTGTAATGATAATAATGATATTGTATTTATTATAAAAGTCATCAGTTACCAGACATTCGTCACTATCACTCACATGTAATATCAGAAACCTTGAAACAAGGTACTGTTTTAACAAAATTGTTTTTGTTATTTTTGTCCCCATTATACTGAATGTGAAAACTTTCATTTATATTATGACAGATCAGCTTCAAAAGGATATGATGTTTGTATCATTGGGGGAGGTATTGTTGGTATGGCAACAGCAAGAGAATTGATTTTAAGACATCCAATGCTCAAGTTCATCACATTGGAAAAAGAAAATATTCTGGGTAAGACATTTAATGGCTGTAGCTCAGAAGGAGTTTTAGTCACCAAATGGATTTTACATTAAAATTATAGTATTATCTCCATCAGGATGAAGCAGTGACTGCTAGGAATATCCAGGATTTGATCATCTGTGGAAATTTGTGAGTGATTAATTACACTAAAGTAACCATGAATTCCGTGCCTAAAGAACCCAAATATGATCTTCTCTGATACAAAATTTCACAATTCTCAGCCCCATATGTTGGACACAATCAGGGTTTCATTTTTTTTTCTCTCCCTCATCAGGTGGACTTTGAATTTTTTTTATTGACAACACTGATTATCAATATAATTGTTGGTACATATTTTGTTTGAGTTGTTACATAGAGGGATGATTTTACACCATAATTTCTATCTATTGTAAGAGGGTTCCCTATTCAATAAATGGGAGCAGGGTTGGAGGATGTTGTGAACACAAAATTTTGTTACGGTTGAGGAGAAAAAAACTTTTGTACTATGAATGCACAGAAAAAAATCCAAATGTGTTATCAGTGTTTAATTTGTCATAATTAACTCATGTTAAATATTTGTGTGTAGCGCCTCATCAAAGTGGACATAATAGTGGTGTTATCCATGCTGGCATCTATTATCAACCAGGATCACTGAAAGCCAAACTGTGTGTGGAAGGTTTAGAAATGTGCTATAAATACTGTGATGACAATAATATACCGTACAAGAAATGTGGAAAGGTAAACTTTCATAATCACATAATTAGTGGGGAAAAAACCTACTAGTGCTTATGCACTTTATATTAAGTTTCTGATACAGAATATTTAGTGAAGCTCGACCACAGAAAATTTGCAAAGTTACCATTGTGACCATGCGAGTACCAAATTTGTTTCTCCTGAAATTAAATTTACAATGTAGTTAGTGTGGCACGTCTTCTCTAATTTCGATCATGACTTTATTACTTTTAGCTAATAGTTGCAGTAAACCAGGAACAAGCATCTAGACTAGATGGTCTATATGAACGAGGCCTGCAGAACAATGTCAAGGGATTGAAAATTATCGGACCCGAAGAAATTCGAGAAAGAGAGCCGTATTGCAGAGTAAGAAATCCTAACTATTTGTTTCACAAATTTACTCACTTGGATTATTAATTTTAGAAATTTTATGACATCTTTTGATTTTTTTTTTTTAATTGATTTTTTGGCAAATTTGTGGGATCAACCTTCACTAAAAATTGATGTTTTCAAGTTGTTGCTGGTAATCTTATTTGGTGAAAGGACAACTGGATCCATGAACCAATAATTTCACATGATATGGAGATATATAAGAAATATACATAGAACTTTCTTATTCTTTCTCTATTTTTTCTTGCAGTTATTAATATTTCATTTTGTATTTTATTGATCATCAAATACAGAAAATTATTGTTTTTTATACAAACTTTTAGTGACCAATGTTTTGACAAGTTATACCGGTATATATTTTGTGGAATTCATTTCCCACAGAATGAATAATCAAATAGACAATACAGCAGTTTGCTGAAGTTGAAAATAAAACCGCATTTTACATGTAAGACCTTAGATTGTATCCTATATCTATTTTCACTTTGTCAATTCATTAATTATGCAGGTAAAATTTGCTGCGAATTCATCTGCATTTGTCCCTCAGTGCATTAAAATTGTTGAAAGCATGCTTGATCTGCATTTGTCCCTCAGCGCATTCAAATTGTTGAAAACATGCTTGATCTGCATTTGTCCCTCAGCGCATTCAAATTGTTGAAAGCATGCTTGATCTGCATTTGTCCCTCAGCGCATTCAAATTGTTGAAAGCATGCTTGATCTGCATTTGTCCCTCAGCGCATTCAAATTGTTGAAAGCATGCTTGATCTGCATTTGTCCCTCAGCGCATTCAAATTGTTGAAAGCATGCTTGATCTGCATTTGTCCCTCAGCGCATTCAAATTGTTGAAAGCATGCTTGATCTGCACAGCGCATTCAAATTGTTGAAAGCATGCTTGATGAAGAGGTTATTACATGACAACACTGTGATATCCCATCATTCTACTTATCAGGGTTTTTTCTAAACCGGGGAACAGGGTGCAGTGCCATGATACTCTCGGCTGGTGTCCTTTTACCGAATTGCCGATTGAACTTTCATGTCATAAATATATTTCTTGAGAGGCGTGCTGCAGTACAACATGAAATCTTTCCTCAAATATATTTTTCTCTGTGAAAACTTCCTAGCAACACCAGCTGACAATGTATCTGGACCTCATATACACTAAAATTACTCTAAAAATATTTGAATGGTGATAGATACACTGTTAAAACGGTGCAGAAACCTTCAGATATGGCGTTTACCAGGTCAATTGCCTGTGTGTGCTCCCTCTTGTTCATTTTTTCTAGAAAAACCCCTGCTCATGATGCAATATCAGACACACACAGATTTGCATGTAATAACCTATAAATATTACTTGGATTTATCACATGGAAATATCATGATAGTATTATAATATGCAACTAAGGGGGTCGTGGATCATTAAAATACTGGAAATGAGTTAGGGTTAGTTTGTTTTGTATTATGTGCATCAAAACGAATTATCGTATTATCTGAAACATCGTCCACCACAAAAGATCGCTCATGGGCAATGTTTCTGCATCTGTGTGATTTTTTGGTACTGCAAAAACAAATGAATACCATCAAAACTAACACGGTAGTAAAAATAATTGTTTTTTGTGAATAAATAGTACGCAGGATGTTTAATGAGAATTTCTTGCACACAATGACACAGTGTCATTCTAACATTCTAATAGAGCTTTGTACAAAGTATGCAGTTTTGTTACAAAATTACACTGTGACAGTCACGGTACTCTCAAGATGAACTATGTACAGGTACTCATGTTTGCCCCCCAAAATATATAATGCAACTTTGTTAGTAATATAGAAAATTCAAAATTATTCAACTCGTAGCTTGTATCGACACAGGGTCAAGCAGCTATCCAATCAACGATGTGAATTCATCCAGTGGGTCACTCATGGCATTCATATACGATAGCGATGAACATGGTTCCCAAGTAATTAAAGCTGCCAAGTGTGGCTTTCTAATTCTATCCCTGTTCGCTGAGATACTATTCTGCAATATGCACTGTTTTAATGCACTTTTTTCATTTGTCATCAGTAAAAAAGTGTTTTGTTGAAATCGTCACTGGTGCGATGTGTTCCTGTGATGCATACAGCAATGTATTATGCGAGACATGTTATGTTAGAATTGGAAAAATGTTTGCCAGTCAAACAGTACATCAGACAGACCATTCTTTCAGGGGGGTGTCTATAATCACAGAATAGAAAAACGATTTGATACAAAGTTTCAAAGATCGACATACCCTTGAGTAGAGCGAAATTATTTCTTTTACTTATATCTGTAACTCTCTTGCCTGATAAATACTTGTGGTTGAATAGAATAGTAATAGAATCAGTTGAAAGACCTGATTGCTTTGCCATTTCATTGCTACTACATGTGTAATAGCTATGGACATTTCCACTATATTTTCCGAAAGTGGAGTTCTAGCTTTATTGGGATTTATTTATAGGGATTAAAAGCTTAGAATCACCAAATACAGGGATTGTGGATTTTGGACATGTTACAAGGTCATATGGTGAAAACTTTAAAGACATGGGTGGAAATATTAAAACTGGACACAAAGTTACTGGGTTCCATATGGCAAAGGAAAGTGTTGCTGGATCCAAAGAAGGTATCGTAACCCAGTCAATCAATCAGGTTTCTTGTAATTTTAGTGTGCCAATACAAAATTCATATTTCACTACAAAAATGTTACAATGTGACAGCAGTTTGAATCACAATCTGTTGATATTTCATTATAAATATGCCTTAAAACATGTATTAATGTGTCCATGATTCATGATAAGGTTTAAATCAAAGCAAACTTCAAGGCAAAAAATATAAATTAATCATTGGTTGTGAGTCATTTCTGAAGTGTGTTATTTGGTATCAAAATTGATGCTAGTAAAAGAAAACTTAGCATGAGGGTGATATTACATTTCAGATAATTTCAAAGATTGTAATGTAAACTGTAATTGTGTAATAAATTCAAAGTTTACAATTTCTGATAAAATATTACTGTTGCCAAATATTTCACAGTGATCACTGACAACATAATATTCCCATTTATTAATTTCACTTGCATTTTATTTTACAGGTTTAAAATACCCAGTTACTGTGGTAACCAAGAAGGTAAGAACTAATTACCATGCACAAGTTTTAAAATATCCTAGCAACAGCTGCTCTCAGTCTAATAAAATTTCATTAGTTTTTTGAGAGTAAAAATTTATTTCTAAAAGTCTCTCTAGAGGGCGCTTTAAGAATTATGATGCTAGGGTAGTGGCAAACCAAACACTTAACAATTTGTATTGAACTGTTTCAGTTTGAGTATTTTATACATAGTTATGTTTACATTTTAGGGTAATTTTAATTGCCGCTATGTTGTAACGTGTGGTGGTTTGCATGCTGATCGTTTAGCAGAATTATCAGGGTGCAGTCCTGTGCCGAAAATTGTTCCTTTCAGAGGAGAGTACCTGCTTTTAAAACCTGAGAAAAATTACCTTGTGAGAGGCAATATTTATCCTGTAAGTAAATTTGATTTGTTTTTCCTCATTTTAGATCCAATATGAGTGTTGTAATACATTTGAAAAATTATATTGCTGCTATCTTTTTCTATTGGCTTTTCAATTTCAAATATTATTATATAATATATTACATTATGAAACAAATTACAGCATCACTGTCTCAGTTTAGAAAAATATCTGTATATTCATAATTGAAATACAAGTAAGGAAAATTTCACCATATCAATTTTGACAAATGAATGAACAGAACAATATTTGTGTGTGCCCAGTGTTCATATACAATAGCTCAGTAATCAGTTTATTTTATATTGTTATTTGCATACTGGCTGATGGCAAAGAAAAATCTCTAGTAAAAAGTGAATTTTCATGTAAGTTTGTTGCATTCACAGTATTTCTGATTAGTTCTTGTTTAAACTTTTTGAACACTGAAGTCAAATTTGGTCACCCTTCATTACAAACCTACATATAATTTTCAAAGATTTTTAGCAAGCACAATTGGTCCAAATTTTAAAAAATAGTGAAAAGAAATACGAAAAAAAAAAATTGCACTATAAAATATAACATTGATGGCATGTATTGTTTATCGACTAGGTTCCAGACCCTAGATTTCCATTTTTAGGAGTACATTTCACACCACGTATTGATGGTGCTGTGTGGTTAGGACCGAATGCTGTGTTGGCATTCAAACGAGAAGGATATGGATATACCGACTTCAGTGCAAGCGATCTCTTCGAAGCTCTCTGTTACAGGTAAGAATGATAATGTTATCAAACGAATATATCTATGATTCTACAAAATCGTTTGGAATTGTGGGATAGCAGCCATCATTTATCTTGAGATATAGTAGTTCATAACGTATCTCCCATAACATCTTTTAATAAATCTACTCAAATAAAATATTTAAACTCTACTAACATTTTAGAACACACTAATTGATCATTATAGAGGTGCAACTAATTCATGTACTAATTATTAACTCAACTCTTTAAAACTCGTACAATCATAAGTTTATTTATCAATGCATTAACTACATGACATGTGACTTCAGTCACTGTCCCTCAGTTCTTCAGTCACAGTGTTTAGGGACTGTGCTTCAGTGCACAAACTTCATTTAAATTATTTTAATCTTGGTTTAGGTAGTCAGTTTGTAACATTAGATAAAATAGAAATTGAATCTGCTACAAACTTAATTTCACAGTTGGTTTTAATATGTATTCTCTGTAAATCAGATGTGGTTTGTGACCATCACAGTATCTTCATTGCAGTATTATTATGCCAGAACTTTTGGTCAAGACTGTTGTTACAAAATGAACAGTAGTTTAAGTTTGTGATCGTTTTGGAGAGTAACTGCATTTATCAGCAGATATACCTGCAATAAAAAGCACTGAACAAATATTGCCTCAAATCTATGCACTTTCAGGGTCCTTCACAGTAAAGCACAGCATGAATGGTCATTTTTATCGTATCGGTAATACCAAAACAAAATGAATTGGAACATTGTATTTTATGGCCTGGTCAAATCTAGCTTGCTTTCCCATGTATTGTTTTATACGTTCTCATCATGCACTTTCTGAACTGATAGTTGCCACTGATAGTTAAGACGAAATTGTGACCGCCCCATTTTTTGTGACGTGGAATAAATTTACATGGTTAATGAGGAAAACACTCTGCAGACATTTCTAGACTATTGTGGACAGGACCTACTGAACAATAGGAAGGTAACCAGGCTAGGTTGTATTTAAACCATAGAAGGTAAAACTGTCAGTTTAAATACAGCATTCAGGTATATCTCACAATCAGGTGATTGACATTGATGGTTTTTTAAATAAAATTTATATCAATAATTTGATGTGTGTTCACCCCAGAAAAGATTCTAGTCTAATAATCTTTTCTTATATACGAATGCCTGTGATATTATTTGCTCATATTCAGTTTATTGGCACACCTGCACAAATTTAATATACAGAAATTCTTTTTTAGTGGCCTTCGAAAATTAGTCTTTAAGCACTTAGCTTATGGTATGGGTGAAATATACAGAGGACTCAATATTGCTGCACAGGTTAATATCCTTAGAAAGTTTGTACCAGAGTTGAAGTTCAGTGATGTAAACAGGTAAGTGTAGATTTAGTTGATTATTATGGTAAAAAGCAACAAGTGAATGTGAATCACTGTTACAGAAACTGAATCATATGGTCATCTATATACTCTATTGGCATGAATTTTAAAAATATGTCTACGTCATTACTGTCATTGTGTATTACAGGGGTCCAACAGGAGTGAGAGCTCAGGCATTAGGAGAAGACGGCAGTTTAGTTGATGACTTTGTATTTGATACTGGTAAGACTGAGATAGGCGAACGTATACTGCACGTCAGGAATGCTCCTTCACCAGCTGCAACGTCATCATTAGCGATTGCAAAGATGGTAGCCGATCATGTGGAAAAGAAATTTGAACTGTAGTACAAAAAATCTTATAATTATGCCTTCACTATATTTTACAAAATCTAACAATATTATTCTATAAATCTCAAAGATTGTAATATACATGTATAGTAATTATTATGAACTTTAATAAAAATACAATTCACTTTTAAATATTTACTTGGATTAGTTTATTTTGATGAGCAGCTTTGTCTGTGTTATGTGATGCAGTAATTATGTGAAAAGACTGATGTGGTCTAGTTCAGTACATTATTTAAGCGTTATGTGATGAAATATTTATGTGATAAGATTGATGTTGTTTAGTTCAGTACATTATTTGAGTGTTATTTGATGCAGTAATTATGTGATAAAATGGATGTGGTCTAGTTCAGTACATTATTTGAGTGTTATGTGATGCAGTAATTATGTGATAAGATGGGTGTGGTCTAGTTCAGTACGATGTGCAAGTGTTATGTGATGCAGTAATTATGTGATAAGACAGATTTGGGCAAGTTCTGAATAGCTGCAGAATCAATAAACAAAGTCTAAAAAAAAATGAAAACTACATTTTATGTGCAACAAGAATGATGGGTTCGTTGTTTGGGCAATCAAAAACAACACAACTACCGGTATATCATTTAAAATATTCTTCATAGTTTGTGTGGAATGTCAAATCATCAGCTGATCAGGGTATATTAGAATAAACCCTTCACAACCATAACAGCGCCCTCACAGGATAAATAAATGTTTCATAATCCACACATATTGCAAAAATTTGTCTGTTACAAACAACCCCACCATTGCAATGACTGATGGCTGAAGAACCATGTCACTGCTTAATAAAGTGCATGTAAAGTTCAACATAATATCACAGCTGTTGATCACATAACATGCACATAGATAAAGAACTGTCTCATTTATAATTTGATGTGTACTGAAACGGGTCAACAAAGCCCAGACTATGAAATCATTAAGAAACAGACCTACCAGTTTATAGGTCATAACAATATTAACCTCATAGTATTTAAAAGTTGTCAGGCATCTTGTTCCTTATCCAGTACCATATGAAACCTTCCACAAGGGTTAATTGCTTTTTTTTTTTAAATAATATAGAACAAAACACACTGGGGACTGAACAATTTGTTCTGTTCCGAAGTATGCGTTAAAAACAGATGTGGACAATAAATTAAGGAGGAAGGTCTGGTTGTTTGTTTCCACTGATTAGTAGAAAGTGTTTGTAATTCTTCATGAGTTCAGTGAACTGTTTGAAATTTTACCACCAGAGTCATGGAGATTTACATTTAATATGGCAGGTATGGGGTTTGATTATAGAAACCATGTATAGTGTTTATTATGTACTATGCAATAAATGTTATGTCAATAAAATGCTTCATAGGTGTTTATTATGTCTTCATAGAAACATAATCCAGATCATTGTCAATGTTTGTTTTAAACAGACGAGACCAAGATAAGATTTCCTCGTCTATAGGCCTTCCTTGCATGGTGTTCCAAATAATTCTGGCCTTACTTTTCTTAAGACTCCAATAAAAAATGTGGCATTATATCTGATTTCAAGTTCAAGTTAGTGTAGTTATACAACAAATAAAATCAAAGAATTCTTAGAAAGAACTCGCGTGTGCTGAGTATTGGAGACACATTAAAAATTAATTCAAAATTACTTGAACTTGAGATATTGATAGAAAAGCTTATGCAAATACTAGTAAGGTAACTAATATGAACAGATTTAAGTGTAAAACTAATAAGGTCTGCACAATGTACCAAGTTTCATTGAAATGTGATTAGAACCAAACAAATATTAATTATTATGCTAATTAAAGAATTAATATGAACAGATTTTAACCCAAAATTAATCAGACTTGTCTATTGTCCTAGAGCATTTATGTACCAAATTTTATTCAAATGTGATGATCAGTACTTGAGTTACCTGCATTAATTAATTATGTTAATTAGGTGATTAAGAAGCAAGAATATTTACCAAAAACTAATATGGTGTATAGTCCTAGGTTCAATGAAATGTTATAAGTACTCTTTAAAAGTGTCATTAAAATCCAATGAGTAGTTCTTTAGACATCAGTGCAACAGCCATGGAACAGCAAAAAATAACTAATTATGCAAAAAGGTAATTAATATGCACAATTACTTACCCCAAAATTAAACAGGTCTCTGCATAGTCCTAGAAGATCTATGTCGCAAGTCTCATTGAAATGTAATGATTAGTACTTGAGATATCAGGTGAAAAGCTGAAAATTAACTAATTATGCAAATTAGGTAATTAATATGTACTGATATTACCCTAAAAACTATTAGGTCTGTGAAGTGTCATATGACATCTATGTACCAAGTTTTATTGAAATGTTATGATTAGTACTTGAGATAACAGTGGAAAATCCGAAAATTGATTAATCATTATGTAAATTATGTAATTAATACAGATTTTTACCCAAAACTAATCAAATCTACGCATTTGTATTCATGTGCCAAGTTTCATCAAAATCCAATGAGTGGTTCTTCAAATATCAGTGGAACAGTCATGGAACAGCTAAAAATCAGCTAAATTATTATGCAAATTAGGTAATTAATATTCATGAATTTTTTACTAAAACCTAATCAACTTTGCGCATTATCCCAGAGCATCTATGTACCAAGTTTCATCGATTAGCTAATCAATATGCCCAAAATTAATCTATCAGGTTTTTGCATTGATCCAGAACATCTATGCACCAAGTCTCACTGAAATGTGATGATTACTTGCAATATCGATGAAAAAGCTGAAAATTTACTATTAGGTAATTATTATGCACAGATTACCAAAAACTACTATGGCTGTATTCATTTGGAGATTGTAAACCACTATGGTTGTATTCATATGGAGATTGTAAATCACTATGGTTGTATTCATATGGAGATTGTAAACCACTATGGTTGTATTCATATGGAG